ACGGTGTGGCGCAACAGGCGCCGATTGTGGTGGGGGAGGTTACTCAGAGGCAACCGCAAAGTTTCTTGAGTCATTAAGGCTTGAGCCAGAATGATGCTTTTTGGATCGGCCCATCCCGAGCCGCCTCCTCGGTTCCTCGAGCCTTCCCGAACTGGGAATCCATCCCGGCAAGACAATTTTTTTCTGCTGACGGCGAGCCAGCCAACATCGGTGACATCGCCGAATTGCAATTGACGGCGACTGGTGCAGGACGGGTTGGCAAAACCCCCCCGGGCGGAGTCCAGCTCGCCGTCGACACTACTCTTCGTTTCGGCCCTCGATGCAAGAGGCTGCCCGCGGCGGCACCAACACAACACAGTCGGTGAATAGAAAGTCGGTGCCGCCCTCCGCATCGCACGCGCCTACCCAGAGCTCTTGCGCGCCCCGCAGTGCCGCCTCGTCGTGCTCGCCTTTGAAATTGCAGGACATGGGAGTGCAGAAGCCACTCAGTTCGTCCGATTATGTCCGACTTCTCGCCCGTTGCCGCGCACGGTCCGCGCCTCCCCACCTGCGTGCCAGCAGCACCGCATCGTTTGCGCAAAAGTGACCGGACCAGCTGTTCTCACGCCCTGGCTGGCGTGCTCCAAGTTTCGAACGTGTGCGCAAGAAAAGCTTGCTGAGGACCGTGGCAGCCCTCCGCAGCTCACAAGCCGCGTGCGGTCGCGCATGTAATCCGCAGCTTGCACTGGGACCGCGGAGGATCGCGGAGGATGCTCGAAAAGGCGTGCGAAACAAAAAATAATAGTTTCGACAACACGGGCGGGGGGTTGCGCTTGTGGAATCACGCAAACGCAAAGTCCCACGTTACCCGGAACTCACTCGCAGAGGTAGCCACCGAAGTTGGGGGCCGCTGAAACGACGAGTGCCCACACCATGACACGCGTCTGGTGGAGCGTGTTGTTGTGGTCGCCTTGCAGCGAACGGTCGTGTGTTCTGGGCCATAGTCTTTTCGGGGTCGGGCCCGTGGGCCCGTTGGTCATGGGCAGCGCAAGGGATGCGCAGGCAAGAACAGTTGCAAGCTGGGGACGCGTTGAGTTTTTTTTTATCACATTGCTACCGGAAGGCTGGAAAGCGTGAGGCTTGGAACTTGTCAGCTCATTTGTACAAGGTATCCGACATCATGTTGGAATTTCAAAAAAAAATAACAAATCCTTGTGATGTTTTTTTCTCCATTGCATTCCGTTCTTCTAGTCCGAAATCCTCGTCGCATGTCAGGGTTCTTGTCCGACAACACGAATCGCTGCCTTTGTGGTTCTGCGTTCCTGTGTTTCCTGCAGTCCATGTACCAAAGCACCCCAGGACGGTAACGCGAATCAGTGGGAGGACCCCGTAACCCATAGATCGTCGACTGACCTGAATCGAACACTCGTGTGTTGCTAGGTGTACGCGGACCCCATGTCCGCAACGCCAGTCAATGGTGTGACCGCGGATGCTGCTCGAAAAGGTGCGCGACAAAAATATTCCTATAATATTCCCATGGATCGTCGACTCAAATTCGAGCGCTTACGCCACCCCATGCTTCTGTACATGGGCGTGTTTGTGTTGGCCCAAACCCTCCCTCCCAACCCGCCCCCTGCCCCCCGGCGTTTCTAGGGTTGCGGTTTGCGTGTGGGGGTGGTTTTCTTTCGGCGTTTTGTCAAAGGGGTCTAGGAGGTATGTGCCGACGTCCCGGTTTAGGCTGCCTTGCTCCCCAAGACAGGGGTCGGTGGGCACGTAGGGTTTAGGGCTTGGCGTTAAGTTTTATTTCGTATTTTTCACCCCGCACCCCCAACCATAATGACGTCCATGTTCAAAGAACAAAGCATCCATGGCCCACATTTGATGTAATATGGCCCCATATACTCATGTGTATGTTGGCCACTCATTTTTAAGTGAGGAACCCACCGTGTGCAGGGCATGCGACGTTTTTAGCTTACGCCGTGAACACTGCAAAAACGCGTGCGCCGTTGCGGAATGATGTTAGGCTGACATCACCCCGCTTGGATTCCCATGCCGTGTGCCGCAGGGCCTGCGGCGATTTTACACCGGCTAGGGCGATTTTTTAGCGTAGTGTTAGTGCCGCTACCAGTACGTGTATTATAAGTTCTATGGCGGGCCCATGGCTCGCCCGTGAGCCCGCGGGCCTGTTGGTCTTAGTTTAATCAACTGGGCTGTCCATATACGCCCCTTCTCCAGTTCTGCGCGTGGCGATTTGTCCATGCCGCCAACAGACGTCCTCCTGCTTGTAATTAGTCGGCTGCCGTTGCGCTAGCCCTCCATAGGATGTATTAAGTAGCTGACGTAGCTGATGTCTTTGGGACACGTCAGGCAAACGCTAAAGGCACCAAAAACAAAGGCGTTCCAAGTATTGTAAACACACCAAGCCCCCAAAACCATGGAAGCTTCCTCCTCTGATCCTGCTTTTGTATTTGCAGATTGGGCGTGGTAATTGTAAGGGCCCCGAGTGTTAAGCGTAGTAATTGACAAAACCTTGCAGCACTGGTCAGAACCTCCTCCAGACCCAACGGCCGCAGTCCTTTCACCCCTTGGCTTTGGCCACAAACCGAGAGGTGAAAGAAGGCCGCGGTCCTTTCACCCCCATTGTTTTGCCCACAAACCGGGAGGTGAAGGAAGGCCGCGCTCCTTTCAACCTTCTGTTTTGGCCACGAACCAGGAGGTCAAGGAAGGCCGCGGTCCCTTCACCCAAAACCACAAACCGACAGGTGAACGAAGGCCGCGGTACTTTCACCCCTCGGTTCTGGCCACAAACCGAGAGGTGAAGGAAGGCCGCGGTCTTTTCACCCCGCGGTTTTGGCCACAAATCGAGAGGTGAAGGAAGGCCACGCTCGTTTCGTCTGTTTTGCCTATAGTGGGAAGGTGAAGAAAGGCCGCGCTCGTTTCACCCCTGTTTTGGCGACAAATCGAGAGGTGAAGGAAGGCCGCGCTCCTTTGCCCCTGTGTTTGGGCCAGGTATCGAGAGGTGAAGGAATGCCGCGGTCCTTTCACCCCCCTTGTTTTGCCCACAAACCGAGAGGTGAAAGAAGGCCGCGGTCCTTTCACCCCGGTTTTTGCCACAAACCGAGATGTGATGGAAGGCCGCGGTCCTTTCACCCCTTTTTTCGGCCACGAACCAATAGGTGAAGGAAAGCCGCGGTCCTTTCACCCATCGGTTTTGGCCACAAACCGAGAGGTGAAGGGAGGCCGCGCTCACCATTTGTTTTGCCCACAAACCGGGAGGTGAAGGAAGGCCGCGCTCTTTTCACCCCGCTGTTTTGGCCACAAATCGAGAGGTGAAGGAAGGCCGCGGCCCTTTCACCCCTGTTTTGGCCACAAACCGAGAGGTGGGCCACAAACCGAGAGGAATGCCGCGCTCCTTTCACCCTTCGGTTTTGGGGACAAACCGAAGCTTTCGGTTGTGGCCACAAACCGAAAGGTGAAGGAAGGCCACGGTCCTTTCACCCCTCGGTTTTGGCCACAAACCGAAAGGTGAAGGAAGGCCACGGTCCTTTCACCCCGCGGTTTTGCCCACAAACCGAGCAATGCAGAGCGGCACTTCTGTACAGAAGTGTGGTTTCCAACAACATGGGATTTCGCACGCGAGCTGGCCCGTCACACCATTGCAGTGGCTGTTTATGCCTTTCGTTTGTCCTGTTTCGCGATTTTCGACCGCCCTGTTTTTTGATTTGGCCCGTCATGTTTTCTGATAATATTGCCCGCCCTGTTTGTTTTCTGGTATCATCGTCCGTACCCCTTGATGAACTTGCCGCTGGACTTGCGGCCGATGGACGCGCGGGCTCGTGTCGAGATCTCAAGGCTGTGAGCAGATGGAGCCACCCAATGCAAATCCCTGCAACATGCATCAGGCCAGCATGGTGCCTTGACACATCGCATAATCGGAATTGCACACCTTCGACCCTTTCTCCTTCCCGCTGTATACATGGTCACGAGATGGGAGCGGGCAATGCCAAGCAACGACACAGCCCTACGGCGCGGAGCGCGAATGCAAGGACTGCACACCGCCCCACCGAGAGACCTTTCCCGCCTGGACTGGCCCGGATGTATGGCGTGGCGACAAGGCTGCACGCGGCAGCACAAACGCTGTCAGGGAGAGGGCTCACCAAGCGGGCGCCGCGGTGCGCTGCGGCCGCGAGACACCTAGCGCTGGACGGCCCTTGCCTCGTTCGCAGCGCTCCGGGGACACGCCTGCTCGCTCGTTGAACTGCCCATATAGCCGGGCCCAGCGAAGGAAAAACAGACCGTGCAACCGTGCCCGCGCACCGCAGCGTGTGGCCCGGTGTAGTTGCCGCGAGTTGACGTTTGCAATACCAGTAGAGGAAGCCAGCGGTGTGACATGTCGTTGATCCCTAAGTTTGCGGACGACAACCATGAGGAGTAGGGCGTATGATGCGAGGCCGGGGTCGCAGGAGTGTATGCGTCACATTACCTGCTTCGAACATCTTCGAACACACCGGCAGACCCATGCCGTCAATTTGACTGCAATCACCGTGGCCAAGCATCATCGAACCTGCTATTTCGCAGATGTGAGCCCCTGTGGTACCCCTCGCTTGCCAGAAAACTCATGTTTGTTTTTTCGCTTCGGAACGCCCAACGTGCGAGCTTCTAGAGGATGCCGTGTGCTACGCCATGTGTGCAGCCATTGCAGCAAGTCCAAACCTTGTCGAAAACCTTTTCAACGGATTCATGAATGCGCGCGGCTCAATCAAACGTTCTGTGAAGCCTACCAGTTTGGCACATGCGGGGTTCATGTTTATGTCATGAGAGTTTTAGGATTGAGGCTGACGGGTGGGGGGGGGGGGCGTAGGAGATTCGGGGTTTCGGGTGACGAGGCTTTGGGAAGTCGTATCAGCAGACAGGCTAGCCGAATCTTCGGAGCTGCAGTTCAGAGATTAAGGAAGAGAGGGGGGCTGAGAGTCTACCGGCCTGTCTGTCTGGACACTGAACTGAGACTTGGCTCTTTAGCCATGGGCTATCAAGAATCGGTTCGCCTCCTTGGGTTCGGTGCAGTATGTGGAGTAGTGCTGGGGGTGCCCGTGAGTCGCCGATTCGGTTATCCTGGAAACGAACGGTGCTGGGGTGATGGCTATGACTTCTTCTACTGCTGTGAGCTGAGTCCGGCCACTCGCGAGAGCTGTTGGAAGGGTGGCTGGACATTCAATGCGTGCTGTTTCTCGGAAATTACATGGGTGGTCGGATTTCCTGGAAATGTTTCTTGCTGGGACCCAGATCCCGTGAAACAGCTGAGCTTTCATCGCTGTTGCGACCGCTCAGTGGCGTCGCCACCGACGGGCCACTGTTGGCACGGGGGGCGAAGTTTCGCAACCTGTTGTTACCGTGATCCTTACGTGCAAGAGCATATCCGGCTACCCATTGATCGTGCAGTACAACATCCCGGCAAGCCAGATTGCTGGACCAAAGAATTCGATTTCGATATATGTTGCAATGAGCAGCTACGAGCCCAAGACTCTATGCATTTCTGCTGGGATGATGTGCACACGTTCGAGAGCTGCTGCTTTCGCCTCTTGTCTGACAGCGATCCGCAACGAGGCAGCTTCATCGCCGGGCTGGCTCATGGCGCGTCGAGCAATGCTAAAGGCATAGGGGAGTTTCTGGAAGTGGCACATTCCATCCTTCCGGATGGTCGGCCAGCGTCCGACATAGTAGCTGGTGCATTTGTTGCATCAAAAGGATGGACGTATCACGTCCCATTGGGTATTTACCTCGCCCCTCTGCGGGACTTGCCCGTGAAGGTATTGGAGATTGGGCTGGGCTGCGGTACGGGGCAGTCGCCATCACGAGAACCCGGTGACGATTTCTGGAAAGACTACGACACCAAGGCTGCGGAAGGTGGTGGATTCCCACCAGGCGGCAGTTTGCAGATATGGCAGAAGTGGTTTCGCCATCCTGATGTGCAGTTGTGGTCCGCAGAGCTTGAGCCCAAATGTGTCGCGAATGCAATGAGCGCTGGCTTGAAATTCAACTTGTTGATGGGAGACCAATCGGACCCGGAAACACTCCGACACTGGATTCAAACGGCTGGTGGACACTTTGACGTGGTGGTCGACGATGCTGCACACTCGAATGCCGCCACACGGACAGCCTTCCAGGCCCTGTGGCCGCATGTCCAGCCTGGAGGGATCTACATCATAGAAGATTTGGTCTGGAGCCGCAACCCTCGAGTGCAAGGCGCCAAAAACAAAGAAGTAATGCCTTTTGTCGACACCATCAAGGAATGGATTGATCAGCTGCTCATCGACCCGGCCCAGACCTTTAGTGGAACTTCCGATGGGAGGTTTGAAGAATCACGACTCGGATCGTCACAAGCTGAGGTGATCAAAAAGCGCTTCCCTGAGCTTCTCAGCAAAGACAATGTCTACCGCGTGCAGGACCCTCTGCCATTAGGAGTCCAGTTTATTAATTGCTTCACGGCTATCTGCGTGATTGGGAAGAAGGTTCTCCAGACAAAGTTTTCGAACCCTTTCCTGCAGTAACACTCCCGAACCCTGGGGCTCCAAATAGCACAAAGCAGTTTAAATGAGAAGACACCATAGCCCCATAGCAGGCATGTTTTGCAAAGTGGGGCCCTAGGGATAGCATGTACTCTTTGGAGCGACAGCGTGCGACGGGCGCCGAGAAATCGTCCATGGCTCGGCTTGCTGAGTAAAGATTCCTCACCCCTGCGCCGCAAAGCCTACCCAGCAAGCCCAGTGAGGTTCCGTGTTGGGCGATTTCGGCGCTCTATGTGCGAAATCGCAATCGGTCAGAAACCCCTAAAGTTGTGCTGATTGTTGTGACAACACAAGGAACAATGTCGCATGCCAGGTTGATGCACAATCAATCAGTCAATGAAGGAATCAATCATTCAACCAACCAACCAATCAAGCAATGCACAACACAAAACAATCCGAAACTCTGCGCTGCGCCATGAACAACTTCCCCAACATGACAGCAAGCTCAGCGACGTGGTGGCTCGGGGGAATACATCTCAACTTTGTTTGCATGTGCTTAAGCTGCCTCCATGTGCTCTTCCATGCACACCGCTTGTGGGCATGAGGCTTCGTTTAGGCCAGTTTAGGCTCAACTGTTTGGGTGCATCCAAGTTGTCGGTCAACTGTCGTCGTTGACGCAGGATTCGTAGGGCAAGAAGAGACCCTTGTTTCCAAGGCCCGGGCAGGCAAGCATCGTGAGCATCTGCGTTGGTTTCCAAGGAGCATCGCGAGCCGCAGATGCCGATGCTAAACATGAAGTGGTCGCCGATTTGAAACGCTAGACGAGCTGAAGAGCGCACTTACCCTGAGTTGTGCAGGTAAAACAGCTGCCGGCTCAATGTCATTGCTCTCGGGCGCTGGAGTGCCGAGGCTGCTACGTTTGTCCGCCTGCTTGCAAGGTTCCGGGCGCCGTCTGCACCACCGCCTTCACGTGCTGCCGCCATCTCGGCTTAGACGCTCCGGTGGTCTGCGCTCTTTCGCTGCTGCGTGCTCCTTCGCGGCCAGCCTGCTGTCCTTGCCCCTTAAACTGCCACGGCCAATGTCGACGGGGAATTGCCGCCCCTGAGCGACATCCTCGGCGACTCACCTTCCCAACCTCCCCTCGCCAGCCGCATGCTGTGAACACGCCCTGGGCCTGAGCTTTGGCCGTAGACTGTCGCCTTGGCTTTGGGCAACTGCACTGGGTCCACTGTGGACGCCGGCAAAAAAGGGTCGTGGGGAATGAAATCCAAAAAAGCGAATGAGAGCATGGTCACGCCAACAAGGACGGGCCAAACGAGCATCATGAACATCAGCAGGCGGCCTTCACTTCCAACAAGGGTTGATCATATAGGCATCATCAGCATCAGCCCGCAGCCACTTTCTCTCGCTGGATCCAAAACTGCTGCATGAGCCGGACCCTGAGCAGCATGCAGGGTCAGCTGGCCCTGTCTGGAAATTCGAACCCCTGCTGGTCCTCATCATGCTCACTTGGTCAGCAAAACAGCCGAGTCTGCAACAAGGCCGCAAAACCTACGGTTCATGATTTGCACCTGATGCTCATGATGCTGGCTTGCCTTGCCAGCGCTTGGAAAAGGGGTTCCGCGACGATGCTCATGATGCTCCCTTGGCCTTCCTGCTGAGTGATGCTCATATTCGCGCCTTTCAATAGCTACGACAGATTGATAACCCTCGCTCTCGCTCGGCCTTTCTTCCAGGGCTGCTGATTGAGCTTACGGGGTGGGGCTTGGCTGAGCTTCAAGCTTCTCAATCAGCCCTCAGTCTTGTGAGTCAGATCTCACACGCCGCTTCAACAGCAGATGCGTCAAAAGTTTGTCCAGTCTCCATCATCGCGGTCTTCGTGCCGAAGCAAACTGCGGTTCAAGCGATGGCGAATTGGACGCGATGCTGTTGTGTCGCGTCATTCGCACTCTTGCTGCTTTGGGCACGGTTCGCTGATGCTGCTCCAGTGACCCCATGCTTGCCGCATGCGATACCAGAGTCGGCCAGAAAGAACGTGGTCGTCGATGGCGAATCAATGCCTCTTGGCATTTGGACATCATCTTTCGATTCCGCAACGATCGTGAGCAAGATCTACGAGATTATTGCCCAAGACTCTTCGGATATACAAGTTACAAGTGTTGGGGTTATCCGTGTCATGCTACTCTTTGCATGGCTTGTGAAAGCCTCGGATGTGCCGATGAGGAGCGTCTGGGCTTCAACACCATCATGGACTTCGGAAACACAAGCAGAATGCAGGCAGGCCATGTGCTTGCGGCAGGCGCGTTTGCACCACTCATGACCACTCCGTGAACTAGGTGTTCAAGCTTGCCGGGTGCGATCACGACTCAGTCGAGATGACGAATGTAAGAAACTGTGGTCCACCCCGTCGTGGCTTGGCCTTGAGGCATGTTGGTGCTGATGGCTGAGGTTTTGGAAAGAGTGTTTGCGTCGGTTTGCCATCGCGCACCCGTCCTGGTCGAGCGTCGTTGTGTTCGTTATTGAGCCCCGAAACGCATCGCAATTGCAACCTTCGGCCTTCAGTGTCAAGGTGATCGTGCATCTTGGATGTGAGCAAGCTGAGGCTTCCATATCTCCATGGAGTTCTGGTATGCGGCGTCGCCTGGGCCTTGGATCAGACATCCCCTGCGTGCTCTTTATGCAATTGCAGTAGGCGGTTGACGTCGGGGGAGGCTTGGAATTACTCCTTGTTGTGCCCACAGCCCCCACCAAACACCCCACCCAGCCGTGAGATGCCGAAAAGGCACACTCGCACCATCTTGCACGGTTCAGAACTTTGGTTTTCACCGTTTTTCTCGCATGTTCTCGCCTCCTTTCTGCATCTTTCTGCAATGTGTAACTGGTTGGGTTTTCCAAGACTTCTTGCTTGGGGGGGTGTTTGTCCGCTGGTCAAGGTCGTGCAGGTTGCACTTTCGTTTTGTAAGGCATCCGGCTTTAGGCTGAGAGAGTGAATGCTGCAAGTTCCCGAGCCTTTGGAGGTGGGACTACTAAAGTGGCAAGTCAACGACACCAACAGCAGGCATCAGCAGGCTACTGAAACTTCCGCCTCGCTTTCAGGCCCTGGTGGAGCTCCTGGGCTCGGGAGATCGGCGGGCACGCGCCGGTGAACCTCGGGAGCGCCTCGGAACCGAACTGGCCAAGCGCCAAGCCATGAGGCTCAGGGTCGACCGAGAGCGCTTCGGCTCTGAGGCATTGGCTACCAAGGAAAGGAAGGCCTTTACGTGATGGAGGCAGCGCTGCAGAAAGCCTTGGAAGGTCGAGGTCTCGCGCTCCTTGGAAAATGTGGGACAGGGCGGATTTCCCCCCCGTCCCCTCATCCCCCTCCCTTGCTCTGTGCCTGCACATGGCCCCCGCTTTTGAGGCTGGAGTACTACCGCTCCTACAATGCCTCATGGTTTTATCCGGCTCGCTACGCCTCAGTGGTATCAGATGTGGACCTGAATAAGCTGCAAGCATGCGCAGACAGTGTGGAGGCTTGTCTTACGTGCGATTGCAGCGTAAAAAGTTTGAAGCACCAACCGCCCATATTTGAGCTGGCGGTGAGCCTGCGTTGCGTGCGAAGCATGGCCGCGTGCAAGAGCTAGCATCGGAACAGACGTGCCTGTAACTTCAGGGCTACTTTCCGGATCTCGGCACGGTGTACTTCGCTTCGACCGGCGATGTGAGCAGCCCGGTTTGCCCTGAAGTCGACTGCCAGTGTGCGGCCGAGAGCTGCTTGTTTTGCAGATGCAGGCCGACGGTGTGGAACAGGTGAACGGAACGACGAGGCTCAAATGCTGGCAGCAGAAGTGGTGGCCTGCACCTGCCTGTCGGCACAATGTGCCCGGCTGTGTTGCGGTTGTATCTGGTGGTGTGGGTTGGGGTTGGCCTGCTTCTTGGCCGCAGAGTAACCAATTTCCGACGCCGTTTTCCGCGAAGCTTTTTGTCGTTGCTGCATGTGGGTGGGCCTAATTAGTGCTGGATTGAGGAGATGATTCAGCAGGCATTCTTCCACAACATGCCTCTAGCTTTTGCCACGGCGCAGCATGGGCCTGAGAATTACTACGTTTCCCTCAACCGTCAATTGCAGAGCTTGCTCTACTGGTGGATGCCCGACACGACATTCAACTTGGAGAATCCTTCGCTGGTCATCTTCCCACCCAACAGCCCCGCGGAGTACGCAAAGCAGATTTTCAAGACTCAGCAGGACAACGTCAACTTGACCAAATGGGCAGCTGCAGGGCCGCAATCTGTAGAGCTTCTAACAGGCTTGCCTCCGTCCTCGTCCTGCCCTCTGCCAGGCTGTTGGCATGGAAGCCAGTGCAGATCGAGCAGTGGCGCTCGCCAGGAATCTCTTCATTACCAACGACGAGATTTCTCAAATCCTGGCGCAGCACGTGTCAGCTGCTGATCCCTGGCAGACTGCTTGCAACTGGCTGAGGGGGACGTCTGTGTGGATGTCCTGGCTGCCGACTGCCTGCACTGCGGGACAGGGTTTGGTCAACTCCTCCGGCCATTGGGTGCTGGCCTCAGCTCTCCAAGGAGCAGCTGCAGTCAGACTCGTGCGTGGCACTTATCCGGACAACAACAGGTGCTAGACCGATCACTCGCCGTCGGCTGCCAGGCCCGGATCACATCGTGCATGAGCGGGAACGTGATTGAAACGTGAGTGTGCTTCTCATGTCGCAGGCCTGCCCAGCAGAAACCAGGTCAGTAGAGCAGGGCTCCACGCGAGTATGCCTGCGGTGTGCGGGAGGCCGCGGTTCCCAGATGAGTTCAGTGTGACTCTAGGATTTCTTGCTCTGTGATATCTCCGCAGGGGCAGTGATCCCGTCGGCTTTGATGCCTTCTCGGATCCCGTATACTTATGCTTGCTTGCAGACACCTTGCAGACCTGGCCAGGCGATTCCATCGACATTCCCTGCGAGCCTAGAAAATCTGAAGCTCAGGATGACAGTATGAAGCCGGAAGAGGCAAGCCAACAGAGCCAGGCTGCAGGTTTCTCTGAGAGCCGCATGGCCTCGGCAAGCACGGACACGGACCCACCGTTAGGCAATGCGACAGAGCCGGTGTTCTTCTTTTACTCGTGGCCATATATGCTGCAGCTGCCGTTGCTGACCCGCTGTGGCAGCGATGCTGTTGACTTGAGGCGGCTTTGCGCCACCAACATCAGCGAGGAATACTGCGTGTTGGTTCATCGCCGTCCAGGCTACGCCAAGGAGCAGAAACAAAATGTAGTTCCTGCATTGGCCGGTTGCAGCTGTGCAAATGCGGCATTGGAGGCGGAGCAAGGAGACATCAGTTGGAATTTTCAGCAGCTCTCGCATGTGACATTCCTTCGCCTGCAGCTGGCTAAGCACTCTTTTCTCCATTGGTCAGGGCCAGGGAACGAGGTGCTACAATACAGAGATGTGGTCTTTGGCACGCCTCACTCTGCCATGGGTTTTATTGGCCACCCCTCCTTGCTGGAGCTACTGCGAAGGTGGGCCTATTATGAGGAGGCTTCCCTGGCAAACGCCGAAAAAGGCGAAAGCTTCGAGTGCTCCGGCCAGGCCGATTGCCAAGTGAAGCGATTCTTAACAGTCCTGGAATGGCTGATGGTTGCCCGGCTTCTCGGTCCAACAGTTAAGCTGCACATCCTGCGCCTGTCATCACTACATGTCCGCACTCCTTCTGGCGTCCATGTTCTGCGGTTTGTCGGTTACCCTAAAATCGCGTTTACAGTAGCAGTAGCAGTACTAGTCACTAGTCGTCGTCTAGTCGTAGTCGTAGTAAGTAGTAGTAG